TCAAAACAAGCAGATGCTACAACCCGAGGCAGTGGAACATTAACCACGGCAAGGCCGGATAAGTAACTCCCTGCAGAAGGTTACCCCAGCGGCAGAGGGGAGACCAGCCCCCCAAAAGATCTCACTGCAAATCCCTTCTCCCCTGAAGTGTGACCAGGCCCAGTGCCTTCTGTCTGAACACACTGGCTGTTTGGAAGCCTCTGAGCCCTGCCTGCTGGTCAGGTTCAAGGAAATGCTTGGAAATTTGAGAACCAGAGCAGCGGCCTGGGCTGTGGCTCTCGGCAGGGCAGGGAGAGACGGCCACCCAGAGCAGTGAGTGGCCAGGAAGTGGATCCTAGCCCCCCTCCCACATCCACCAAAGGACAGAGCTTGGGCAGAAACCTTCTCCGCTTTAGGTGAATTCGAGCTAGGACAAGTTCCACATTTCCCTCCAGCCCAGCAGGCAGACGGAGGGTCTGTCCTTCCTCCAGTACCGTCCCTTGACCCCAGAGATGTGAGGACAGGCTGCGTGGGCGGCGGGTCATCCATGGGAGCCTGGGCTGGAGAGAGTGCTGCCTCTTTCCTCTCTCCCCACCCAAACTCCTCTCATTAAAATCAAATTTAGCCTCTTGCATCATTCTGCCCCTGGTTGTTGGAACAAAAGCAGAGAGCCGGGGAAGGTTCCTGACAGACTGGGCGTGTCTGTGATTTTCATGCAGTCTTCGGTCAATGGTAGGTTCTCCCCTCTACTCCAAGGGAGAGCCAGCAGCCCCTGGTACCCCCAGCTGACATCATGGTGGGGCCATTTCGGTGACCCCAGGACAGACGTGGCGGGGACGGCAGGGCAGTGCTGACGTCCTGGGATTAGTCTTGCTGTAGTTATAGCTGTCTGTGGCATCTCCAGAGGGTGAATAAGAATTACAGGCCTTTCACCGTGTTATTAGCTGGCAGCAGAGCAGCCACAGAAGAAAGTGCAGACATTGCAGGGCCCTCTTTAAGCAGAGGCACCTTCCACAACATCTGCACTGACTTGAACCCAGAGTTAAAAACATTGGCGTCGGTGGCCTCTCCCCCGTCAGCCGGCTCACGGGCCTATTCCTTCTGTGCTGATGTTCATCCCCGCTGCTCCCTGCAGGCCGCATGTGGGTGCTGAAGGTGCAGAATTCCTCTCCACCGGGGAGGCAGCCGCGGACTCCTATCCCAACTGGCTCAAGTTCCACATTGGCATCAACCGGTACGAGCTGTACTCCAGACACAACCCAGCCATCGAGGCCCTGCTGCACGACCTCAGCTCCCAGAGGATCACCAGCGTGGGTAGGTGTCCTTGGGCGCACTTGAGGGCCATCTGTGTGCCGGCTGGGGCTGGCGTCAGGGCTGCCGGGGCAGGCTGTGCGTTAGAGAGGTCTGGGAGGCCGTTGTTCGTTGTTCGTTACCGCAGCATTAACCTCCTGCAGCGATCTGCACGGGAAGAGCGGAGGGACAGAAGGCTCACGTCTCGTGTGCTCTCACACCGGATGTGCCCCTGATCTGCTGCACGATGAGCTGGGAGATGCCTGGACAGCCTGTCCGCTGTGCTCTGCCTCCTCACCTGGGTGGTCCTTGGGGTGCCAACTGAACGACAGCGTCTTTCCCTCCTGGGGTAGAAGACTAGAGGGGCATCCTCGGCGGCGGTGACCCCTCCACCGAGATCGTGTGCGTGGGACTCTCCTGCTTTTCTGCACATGACCCTGGCTGGGTGGGGAGATAGCCTTGAGCCTGCTTCTTGTGGTTTTGAAGCTGTCCTTCGTCAGAGCTCAGCAAGGCGCTGTGCGGTTTCATACTGAGGAGATGTAGGCCTGGGCCTCCCGGATGGAGGAGTTTGAAGGCAATGTCTCCAGGTAGTTTGGGATCTGCTGAATTGGACAAAAAAGGGCATCGGGTTGCTGATTTCAGGAAAATGTACCACTGCAGCTTCTGAGCGTGGAGGGTTGGTGCCGTTGTTCTCAGCTTGTAGGCAATTGTTTGTGAAGCTCCCGTTTGTCACCAGGGCTTGGAGAGGCAGTGAGGGCAGGGCTGAGGCCCTTTGGTGGGAGCGGCTGCTCCCTGGGGATTGCAGGGAGTGGGCCTGGGTGCACACAGTGGGCAGGTGCAGAGGCTGGGAGAGCCTGAAGGCAGGGCTTTCTTTGCGCTGTGTGATGAGGCCAGCCGTCCCCGCATTAGCTGCGTGTGTGTCTCAGAAGCAGCCCTGGGGCTGAAAGGGTCCTGGCAGCCTGGAATTCTGTCCAGTTGCTGACACAGGACTTAGGTGTCACCTTTCAGGCTGGCAGGTGGGTTTTCCAGAGCCCTGCAGGGCTGTTCCTGACTGTCTCTGCCCGGTGCCGAGTTGTTTGCTGGGCATTCACTTGGTCATGGGAAGAGAACTTGCAGCTTTCTCCCCACTCCGTGATCAGCTCACCTCATAAGAGAGATCAGCTGGACAAGCTGGGGGTCCTCTTCCCTCCATGCCTGGGAGGAATCTGAACACCTCCCCCTCCCTCGAGGCCCCCCTCCTTGAAAACTCTGCCTTTCTCCTGCCCTGCAGGGGTCTGAGGGCTTCGAGCTGCGCTGGGGAGCAGTCCTGCAGACAGCCACAGCCGGAACGTCCCTTCTGCCCCCGAAAGTGAGCGTGGCCATTAAGGAACTATCCGATGCATTGATCAATGTGTGGGTCCATCCAGCAGATTTTACCGGCACCTCCTGCATGTCAGGCCCCGTTTCTGGGTGGTGGGGAGTTGAGGATGAGTTCAGCCTCAAGGAGATCCGCTGCCTCTGTGGACCGGACGGCCCCCGGAAGAGACGCACACGCAGTGCCCGGTCCTGAGAAGGAACGAGCACTTCAGAGCCACGCACGCCAGGCAGGGCGTGTGGAGAGGCGGGGGCTCCACTGGGAGGGGCTGAGGACCTTCCACAGGGTCCGTGGGGCGGCTCACCTTCCAGGTGGAGTCCGTCGTGGCAGGAAGAGGAATGCGAGAGCATTGCACACCAGCCAGGGCGTTCGGGAGGCGCAGCACTCACGTTGCCTTCCATGCCGCTGTCCATGTGAGCTTCTCTCCAGCTCATTTTCCCCGTCCGTCCAGCGGGGTCTCTCCACGTAGGATCGATGCAAGGATAGGATGAGATGGTGCATGTGAGCAAGCTTGTAAAATATTAACTAGTACTTCGTGCGTGGCCTTCCACAACAGCCCCCTCGTGTGCACAGGCAGGGTCTGGGCAGAGGGAGCGCTTGGTGGATTCCAAAGGCCACTACGCCCTTGGCGGGCACTGCAGCTCGCCGCATCCCTCAGGGACCAGTCAGCTTTCCAACACCAACACTGCAGAGGTGCGGGAGTTCTGTGCCCAGGAGCTCCTAGAGCGGCTTCAGGGAGAGTGCGGGGCCTCTGGGACCTGGGGCAGCTTTGCCCACCTTAGGAGCCCTTCGTCCATCTGGACAGGCTAGCCCTGGGTCACTGCCACCCCCTTTGGTCTAGCTGCCCCAGGGCAGTGGTGCCCAGGCTGCCTGACATTGCGGTAGTGTGGACAAAGCCTTTGCCAGGGAATCCCTGGCCCAGGGTTCTGGTGTGGCCTCCGCCTGGGTGTGCCCTGGTAAGTCCTGTGCCTACTGAAGGGCTGCCCGAGCTGATCTCGCTCGCCCGCCTCCTAGACCACGTTGGCCACACTGGTTCTAATCCTGTCTTCTTGGGTGGGGGCCCATCTGAGGACTGGCTTGGTGCTGACAGTCATTCTGCAGGGCCTGCAAGGAGGGCGAGTGGACACAGCCCCGTCACCCAGGCGGGACAGCAGGCTCTGGCCCAGGAGATCTGGGGGTGAATCCTGGCTCTGCCGGCCACTAGCCAGAGCGGAACTGGGCAAATGGATTAACCCCTCCAGCACCTGGCTTCTCGCTGAGAACATAGAGACAGTTATAATCCGGACCCCGTAACCTCTGACTTACAAATCTGAATGCCAAACAAAACCCATTCATTAGCAAAACCTGACTCAAGCTGAACGGATTTGGGGGCAGAACGCCGAGGCTAGTTAAAAATCCTTATTTTTCTCTCTTACAGTGAATATTCACGTGTTCCTCTGAGGAACACGAGTGTGTTTGATTGTGGGGTTCTGCCCCAGAGCCGTGTGGGCATGCCACGAGCGGCAGCCACGTACCACCTGTGCTTTCGTCATCGAAATACTCGCAGTCCCCAAATACTTCTGCCCCCAAAGATGTTGAAGGAGAGCCCAGACCTGTGGTGCCGGCTTCACGAGGTTGTTCAGGCTTAAATGTGCAAATACGAGTAAAGACATGAGAGCAGAGCCTGACAGCTCACCTGCTGGGTGGGGTCTCTGTGTGGCAGCAGCATTTCGGGGCAGCTCACCTG